CCTTGGCGCCAAGGTACATATACCGGGGGAGGGGTCTATGTTAATGTATTTTCCTTTGCTACCGCAGAAGCTCTAGAATATTCCAACGAGGCTCCATGCATGCTCGGATTACCCATAGTGTGATTCACAGAGGCCACGAAGAAGAACAGTAAGTTGACAAGTGCTTCTGAAAAAGTCAGAGTGATCAACTCAAGGTGGGATCCAGCAACTATTAATAAGTATAAATTTGAAATAAAATTATATGAAAATATTATATAGATGATATATGACACCAGAGAAATTGGCAAAGGTGAAGAAAAATGAGAAAGATATATGTTGGAGATGTAAGACAATAAAAGTTACACTATACCATAAGGGGTGGGGTTGTAAATATATTAGAGCATTTTTGGAAAGAAGTAGAAAAAATGATCACCATAGATTTAAAAATAAAAATGGAGATGAAACCTGAAACTTATTTGTTAAATATGGTGAAGTTAAACTGAGACAAGAGACAAAAAATTGTTTATACATATTAGGCGCAGCCAGAATTCAAGTGGCAAAACAATGGAAAGACAAGGAAGAACCTTCAGTGGAGGATTGTTTAACAAAATTACAGGAACTAATATTAATGGACAAACTAACAGACTCACTGAAAGGAAAGAGTAGAACGGAGAACAAATCTCAATGGGGGAAAGTAAAGAATTATCTCAGAGAGAAATGGAAGAAAGATTCCAAATCTGTACCAAGTGACTTAGGCTTAAATTAGAAGCAGAACTGCTCTCAAAAGAAGTAAAAAACAAAGTAAAGCTGATTATTAATGTGGATATAAAATAAGAATTAAGAAAGGTATTATTAAGATTGCGAAGAAAATAAATGTCTGGTGGAAAATAAGGAAGTAAAAATGTTAAAGACTTAATGTTTTGTGAAAGGGATAATACAAAGTTATTTTGGTTATGTGCTATTATTGTGATAATTATTTACTTATTTTTATAAGTTCTTTTTTAAATAAAATAAAGATTAAAAGGTTTTTTTTTTTACAGGTGGGATTCAGCAAAGCAACATTTTTACTGCTCAGCCTGCTCTCTTATGTTTACCAGGCTGGGCATCTGCAAGCACCTACCTGTTTTAACTTACCTGCTTTACATCCAATAAAGACCTTCTACATTCCTGTGAATGAACAAACGCATGCAAAGTGATCCAATGCATTGGCATAAGCCCATTTACAATTGTCATGGATCAACAGTAAAGACGTTAAAGCAGATTCCATTCTCAGAATGCATTAATGTAAAAAGCAAATGATCAGAATCAATTGCACGTACATATTGAATTACTGTTATGTACATATTTGCAGAATATACTGTTTTCCCGAAAATAAGAAATAACCTGAAAATAAGCCCTAGTATGATTTTTCAGGATGCTCATAAGCTCTACCCCAAAAATAAGCCCCAGTTAAGTGAAACTCCGCCCTCCACCATTGTGCAGCAACCAGAAGAAGATGGCATGACTGTACTGGAATAAATGTAGATTGTTGTGGGATGGGGTGGCGCTGTGGGTTAAACTGCAGAAGCCTCTGTGGTACAAGGTCAGAAGACCTGAAGTCATAAGATCGACTTCATGCGTTGGAGTGAGCCCCCGTCACTTGCCCCAGTTCCCGCCAACCAAGCGGTTCGAAAGCATGCAAAATGCAAAAATGCGACTAGATAAATAGGATTGTCTTCGGACAAACGCTAGCTTTATGGGTTATAAACGGAGATGAGCACCGCCCCGTAGAGTCAGACACGACTGGATAAATTGTCAAGGGGAACCTTTACCTTTACCTAGATTGTTGTACATGAAAAAAATCCCCTGAAAATAAGCCCCACTGCATTTTTTGGAGCAAAAATTAATATAAGGCCCTGTCTTATTTTTGGGAACAGGTGTAAGCAAACACGGCGTTCGAAAACATCCGCGTAAGCCTGGACAGACAGTAATCAGGAGTTTGCACACGCTAAAATAGGCTGAGTGAGTCCAAGCTCAGCTAGCCATGCTACAACACTCCATCTTACAGGTCTGCCCACATAAGAACACCCTTGTACTCTCAGATATAACTATGAAAAGATCAAGTGGGCTTTGTAGTCCTTA